AATTTCTCCTACAGCCTTGGTTTGTTAGTTTGTAAAAWGGAGAGACACATATATATCTAGTTCACCAAGTTATTGGGAGATGATATCATGTGACACAAAATCTAGCAAATCCTCCTCCTCCTTCTCACCACCACCACCACCAAATTATCACAGCATCACTCCCAAAAGAATTTTAAATAGGCACAGATAAGAAAAGTTTCCATCTAAACACTCATGAAGTTAGCAGCAAATATGAAATTAAATCCAGGGGRAAATCATGTCAYTGGTCGGTATCCTGCCKCAAGTTTATTGTTAGGATAAAATGRATGAGTACATGTATGTACATGCCACAGCTTTGTACCTACCATATAATAATATGGAATATGTATAGCAATTATTGTTTAGAATGACCAGCTGTAGGTACACTGAGAGAACAGCAGATGAATGACAGAGTCTACCCAAATGTGCTCGTAACTGAGTTAGGAATACAGTAAGATCAAWACTAAGAAATGATTAAAAAGCGTGATGATTGAGTCCAACTTTTACATACCTTGAGACTCAGGACAGATTGCAATTTGTTTGAGCTATAGGTAATGAGATGGATTTTGTTTATGGAGGATGRCCTGCCAAGGCTGAGGCCCGGAGACAAACTCAGCTCAAGGCTCCAAAATAAATGTAAGGTATTTATTTGGAAATCAAAGCAAAATGAGGAATATCAGTTTAAAAGTATAAAAACTCATACAACAGAATTTAGAGAGGAGGACTAATGAATCTACCCAGAGACTTTAAACTGACTTCCAGTGTCAAAGCACCTGGAGGTCAGCCCTTTGTGGACCCAGCAGCAGGAAATCATGCTTAAACCCACTGGGCAATTGCCGCTCCTCTTGTCTCAATATGAAGAGTCCTTCCATAAGACCTTAAGCCCCCTCCCTTGGCACAGGWGCAGTGGGCAGAAAACATGACCTGGGTCCTAACAGGACCATCTTAGAGTGAAGATGAGCCTGTTCACCCCACACACTGTTCCTAAGAGCTTAGCCAATTCCCTTCTCCTAAATGGTGTTCTCAGGGTTGGGAAATGGGCTGCCTTGGTAATGAGGTCTCCTGGCGCTCTGCTGTTTGGATTGAGGTTTCTGCCATTGAATCACTTGGGAGTAGTAACTGCTTTTTGGAGAGAGAGACCCAGCATTTGGAACAGAAGATCCGTACCTTATTAAGAACCCCCAATCAGAGCTACTGCTTTGTGACCCAAAGACAAGCTTCTTTCCGGGGGCGGAGCTATGAAAATCTGGAGGAACTGAATGTGACATTTTCTGTCCTTCACGTTCGTCTCAGACACAGGAAGACTCAGATAGACTTCATTTCCTTCCTCTCTTAAACAGTTGTTTTTAGYTGTGACATTTTGGGTGGTGCCTAGAGATTGGCCAGCAAAAGGGGGAATTTTTCTAAAACCATAGCTCTGCTCAGTAAGGCTAGTAAGGGAAAAAACTATTCCGTAAAAGAGCATAGCTCCACAAAGTTTTCTAAAGCTCTGTCAGGACTGAGTTTTAAATAATTTTATGAAGGACACTGAGAAAAAAATTTGGCAACATTGTATCACCCTAGTAAAAATCTGCATAACCCATCATTTCAAGCAGTTCAGATTTCCRGAATGGTAGATGTAACTCAGACATGAGCACAACTCTCTAGAAGACCCCCAAAGCAGGCTCCCTGGTGAGTATCACTTCCTTCTGTACCAGGATGGGGAATGTTTACTAAAGCATAAACTCAGTTGTCACAGAGCAGTGACGATGTATAGAAGGAAAACATGATCTCTCCTGGGGAAGAGTTTGGAAATGTGGTGAAGAGTGTAATGTAGAGAAGAGGAACATAAAACACTTGAAAGGCCTTAAATTGGGTCTTATACTAAAAATTGTYCAAGAGTCTAAGCCCCATGAGACCAAGTACCATCTTCGAAGTCTTTCTTTTCTTACAACTAGCACAGTACTTTGTGACTGCGGAACACATTGACAGGCTGGAAGAAATGGTTTGGATTAGTAAAATCAAGCCAAATATTGGTTTAAGCAAATAAAAACTACATAGCAAGTTCTGTGTAATTTTTTRAAAATATTTTTGGTGGTGGKGGRGAGTTCTTTGTTTTCAGTCCTAGGGATTGATCAAGGGTACTCTTCCATTGAATTAGATTCCCAGTCCTTCTTATTTTTAATTTGAGACAGGGTCTCACTAACTTCCTGAAGACTGACCTTGAACTTGCAATCAGTCGCACTCCCAAGTCACTAAGATTACAGGTATGTACCACTGTGCTCACTGCACAGTGGATTTTAAAAATTCAGAAAACAACAGGATAAGATTTATTCTCGGGGGGGGGGGGAAATAATAAACAGTATATTCATTGAGGATTGCGTCAAGGATCAGCCTTGTGTCACTTTTATTTGAAAGATAGGAAAGGCAATAAAATCGCCAAAGTCAAAGATAGTGTCTGAATGGTGTGATTTCTGTCCATCTGTATATTCCCTGCATTTTCTTCCTCTTATCTTTTACTTCTCACCTGTATTTCCTAGATCCCCGATTAGTAATCCTTCTCTTTCTAATGCTTGGATTGTAGCACCCTCACTTTGCAMCCCTTTATTGACTAGTCTGTTTACTGAATTCTCACATATTGGTGCGGCTGGAGTTTCAGAGATATTGGGAACTTAGAGATGACTGATAGTCTGGCGGTAGAGGGAGTCAGAAATATTCCAGGCCACAAGTAGGTATGAGGTCTTCTAATCACAAGGAATCTTCTAGTGAAGATTCACTGGTCCTCTAGTGAAGAGAGATCATGTTATAAGAATTCTGTGCATGAATTTAAAAGTATACAAATGTAATGGAAACTGTGATTTACCATTAATRTACTCTGAATTACAAGATAGCAAGTGATCTGGATATCGCTTTAGGTCCTTCCTATGTATATTAGTTGGATGGGCTATTCTGATCCACGGGAGAAGTAAAATATTGGCTGTTATCCAGAAGGGGATTAGAGACAAAACTGAAAATTGCATTCTTCCTAATCCATAGCTGTGTTACAAAGAAAGTGTGAGCAACAGTATATGAATCCAATCAATGCACTTCAGAGAGGTTTTTTAAAAGTCATGAAAAAAATCCATATGCGAGAGTGGAAGGTAAATGATGAAATTTAAAAAAACCAAGGCTCAAGTAATCAAAGGATTGTTTACAATCTAAGAGTGTTAAAATGAATCCCCTAACTCCACTCCTATTCTGCTCCTATTACAAATTTAAACTGGCTCATTTATGAAAAATAAAAAGGAATAACCACTCATAAAATTTATTATTTTATAAGGATTTCCAACATGTWAAGCACCAGGTCAGATTCTTTAAATACATTAACCTATTTAATTCTCTTGGCAACTCAGTGTTTTATTACTATAATCAATTTAGAAATGAGTTTAATATTGTGCTTAAAATTTTGAAGAGCTATTGAAGAAACTTACTCAGGGTTGCTGCATGAATAGATTTTTTTTTTTTTTGAAAGATTACAATGACAAGAGTACTTCCGTAGCAAGGTACCTGAAGTGAGAAGTGTGAGTTAGGGGACCATCACATTATCAGAGGGTTTGATGATGGTCATCAAAAGTTGGGTGTTGGTAACAGTATAGAGAGAAGGGGACAGAGAGCAGAGTTTCAGGAGGGACTCCCATTGCAGGTCGGAAAAGGGAAGGGAAGTCATTCAATTGACTCTCAGCCTTCTGAATGGTTAAACCTAGTTAAGGATCGGGGTGAAAGCCGCCCGACTGACTACATTCTCCTATGCTAGGTTCGCTTGGGGGTAAGGCAAAATGCAGATGGGCCAATTCATTTCTGTCCCCAACATAGCTTGGGATATGGAGAATTGGAGTAAAACCGTGGGCATCTGGACTTTGTCTGGTTAAATGAATTTATYTTCGCTGTCACACTAGGAAAGTCTGTTTCCTACTTGAAGAGACATCCTCGGGTTCATTCCATTCCCTTTCCCTCTTTTGTTTAGAATTCAAGGAGATAAGTTACATTTCTACAGTGCCTTATGAAATGATTTTTCATGGTCTTAGAGGATATTTGTTGCAGGGTCTCTGGGAAGACTAGCCAGCGGAAATGCTCCCTTTCCTAATCTTCCAGGATCACAGGGGATGTAGGTGCAGGGCTCAGGAAGGTGAAAACCAGGACTAGACTTGGTCATATTGTGGGGACCTTGCAGGGCACGTGGMGGTGAATGCTGCAGTGAATGCTGTTGAAAAGACACAACATTTTTATTCATTAGCTAATTCATTCACAATTCATTGATTCGTCTCTAGACAACTTGTTTCCGTAAGTTGACTATTGTGCACAGTGCGGCAGTCAACATGGGCGTACAAATATCTCTTGGATGTTCGGATTGCGACTTGGGTATTTGAAAAGCTGATTAACACCACTCATCACTGGGAATTGCTAACTGAAACCACAATATCGCCTCCCAACCATTAGCATGGATAATATTTTTTAAAAACTTCCCAAGACTATTCTCAATAGATAACTAGTGTTGGGAATGATTTGTAGATATTGGAGTCCTTTGACACCATTGGTGGGAATGGAAATTGATGCAGCCACTGTGGAACGCCGTAGGGAAATTCCTCAAAGACTTAAAAGTAGAACTGTCACATAACCCAGCAATCCAACTTCTGGATGTGTAGTCAAGAAATTGAAATYAGGGAGCTATTGCTACAAATCCCTTTTTAATTTGATTCAATTTTATTTATCTACTTTCCCTCTCGCCTCCATCTCTGCCCTTAATCCCAAGGAACKAGGGGAAAGCCCTCTATGGTAACAAAGAAGAAAGTGGACAACGAGGTACACTGAGCAGTTGGCCAGGAGGTGAACACCGATGGCCCCTGGGGTTTGAGGCTTTGCTCGGAGGCTGGACGCACTTTAGGCCTGGGCCCAGCCAACTTTCTTTCGAGGCTCACTTACACATCTTTATTTCCTTKACCTAGCTCTTTCTTAGGCTTTTCCCAATGCCAAAGCCAAACTCCTCTTTTGTGACTGAATTTGCCTTTGAAGGCTTCTCCAGCTTTGGGTGGAGACACAGGCTTGTCTTCTTCGTTGTTTTTCTMACCTTGTACCTGCTGACTTTGTCGGGCAACGTGATTATCGTGACCATTATTCGGCTGGACCGTCACCTCCACACGCCCATGTACTTCTTCCTGAGCATGCTCTCCATCTCTGAGACCTGCTACACCGTGGCCATCATTCCCCGTATGCTTTCTGACCTCCTGGATCCTCACCAGACCATCGACATCCAAGGCTGTGCCACCCAGCTCTTCTTCTATCTCACCTTTGGCATCAACAATTGCTTCCTCCTCACGGCCATGGGGTATGACCGCTACGTGGCCATCTGCAACCCCCTGAGGTATTCSGTCATCATGGGTAAGAGGGCCTGTGCCCAGTTGTCATCTGGGTCACTGGGAATTGGTCTGGGCATGGCCATTGTCCAGGTGACATCTGTGTTTGGCCTGCCCTTCTGTGATGGCTTTGTTATTTCCCACTTTTTCTGTGACGTGAGACCCCTCCTGAAGCTGGCCTGTGCAGATACCACTCTCAATGAGATGGTCAACTTGGCTGTCAGTGTCTGTGTCCTTGTCCTACCCATGGGCCTGGTCTTCGTCTCCTACATCCTCATCATCTCCACCATCCTCAAGATTGCTTCTGCAGAGGGTCGGAAGAAGGCCTTCGCCACCTGCGCCTCCCACCTCACAGTGGTCATCGTCCACTACGGCTGTGCCTCCGTCGTCTACCTCAAGCCCAAGTCCCAGAGTTCCCTGGGGCAGGACAGACTCATCTCGGTGACCTACACCGTCATCACGCCYCTGCTGAACCCCGTGGTGTACAGCCTGAGGAACAAGGAGGTCAAAGATGCTTTGCGAAGAGCCGTGGGGAGAAAGTCCCTCTCTCCTTAATCAGGACAGATTGGGAAGGCTTTTTTTWTGTCTTTTTTTTCTTTTTAGTGTATCATGTATTAATTTTTATTCTATTTCATMAATATCCATACCTAYGGGATCAAAAAGAGTGAACTAAGTTGAACTGGGTGCTAAAATTGGGGGCTTCCTCTTGGGGTYGTCTTGCTTTTCCACATCCTGCTTGATAGGAATGAGAAAATGACTTGGCATACCTATAAAAAACAGAGTAGGAGGATTTACATACCCATGTCACTCATACCCAGGTGCACCCATGCACGCTTGCACATAGCAACACACATCCTGAGAATAGTTTCAGTKACTTACACAATTCCAGTTAGTCCTGCAGGGTCCTAAAAAGCTGATGAATAAACGGTTTGCAAACCACCTCAAGAAAGAATTCTTTGTTGTTTTTGCATGTTGTTACGGGTGTCAGAGTAACCTGGGCAGTCATCCTAAAAAGTAAATGAGGAAACACACATGCACATACATTGTTGAAGGCTTTCTTCTCTTTTTGCTGCTTGCTCACATTCCATCACAACCTAGGAAGTCTTCAAAGGCTGCAGACACATCTGCCTTATCTGACCTGGGAATAARGAGTGACAAAACTATAAACTACAGATGACATAGATGGCAGTTATTCCTAGTCCTGAGGTGCCTGGATGAGAAAGATTGCATTAAAAAAAAAAAAGAGGCCATGCTAAAAATCTTAACATTTTTCTTCCTTTCAACACAGGAATAAAGAGGATAGAGTTCAGAAGAAGCCAAGCAAAGGCAGTGTTCCTTTTGCAGGGTAGAACTAAGCTCTCTGAAACAGTGTTAAAAACACAAGCACTTTAACTACAACGATGGAAAATATTTATTAATGGACAGAAATCTTAACATTGGCTTAAAAAATTTTTACGGGAAGCTCTTAAACCAGATGCAGTTAATTTTTTTAAGTCTCTTCTTGAATACTCAGAACTTTAAACCCGAGTTTGAAACAGCGTTTCAWGTCACAGAAGGTGAAAGTGAGATGCACTGGTGCAAGAAAGTATCCTGTGTCTSGTCCTTCCTCTCCATTCTGGGCTTCACAGTGCACTGAATGTTTGCAGGCTAGCACAGTGTAAAGCACTCTTCCTGTAGCATCCAGAATCCACCTGATCTTGTAGCAGGACCCCACAGAGGCTACCTATCACTTGYGAAAGTGTTTTCAGATCTTCTGAGAGCTGAGAATGGGGCAAGTCGATGGAGATGAACCCATCCTTTAACTCAAATGAACATATGTCTCTCTGCACAAAAACACTGGTGTGCGAAGTCTGACTGAGGATAAAAGATAATCTTTGCTTTTGTGTCCAGATTTCCAGAAATGATAGAGTAACTTCATTCCTGTGAGGTTAATCAAAACAGAATTCAAAAATTTTGCTTAGTAATTCTGTTTAATCTGGTCAAACCTATTGAGTCTGTCTCCTTCCTGAAGTTGAATTTGGTGGATAATGTGGCATGCCGCCCGGATCACACACACACCCCTCAGGACTGACACATCCCACACATGCCTTATCCCTCCAGGTGATGGGAGAACCATGGATTGAGGGATCTCGGTGAGCCTCTCTTCAGGAAATATCTTTGCAAAGGAGCTCTCTCCTACAAACTCACACTAACCTTTTGGGGTATATTGCCACCAGTGATTTGCCTGGTTCAAACTATTGCATCTCCTGAGACAGTTAAGAAGAGCTCTCCCAACTCCAAGGGGTTCTTATCCACAAAATGRTCTGAGGGTTTTGCTGTGCTCACCTGATATCTCAACTTCTCCTCTTTTTGCATCCTGCTTCCTTCACTCCCACAAAGGTATAGCTGCTGAGAGCATAGTCTAATAAACTTGCTGCATTTAAATCTGTGTCTCAGAGTCTGTTTCCTGGGGTTGCCAACCTGYAACATTTTAGGATCTCATTTCTGAATCAGCCACTGACATAAGGTGAGAGCTCAGATTTTTAACCATTCTATATCCTAGTGAAGGCAGAGGTCAGTGGCTCCTGTATTTGGATATTTATAAAATGATTGCATCATGTTTATTGAGCTATATTTACAGGGACTCAATTTAGTTGTCAGCAGTGCAGTATTATGTTCTTGGAAACTGGTTAAAAATAAAAATCTGAATTTTTCTCAGAATCCACAAGGAGTCATTTTATTTTTGTCTCTCCAAAACTCTTCATGAGCAATTTCATTTTCTTTGCAGCCCAGGGCCTCTGCTTCCCAGTGAGACCTCTGCTGCTTTGAGGGCTGTGCTGAAAATCAACGACAACGGGAAAGACTAAGAGTGGGCCTATGTCTCTCCAATTTGCAAAAGAGAAGGCTGTGGGTTCTGTAGGGGATGTAACTGAAGTGAAGCTGAAGAGATCCTGGGTGCATTTGTAGAGTTAAGGGTTTTGGGTGTGACTATGGTGGAGGTTGAAGAAGTACCAATGGGGACATGAACTTGGTAAGTAACTGCACAGAGCTAGTCTGATAAACCAAGGCTGGAGAATATCTTCAGTCTCTGAGATCACACTAGAACCTGGGCTATCAGGTGCCTCTGCCTACCACAACAGGAAGCTTCACCTATAGGTTCAAAGGGAGGCACCTGCTCCCTTCATTTCCCACTTAGTGAGGAGAGGGGAAGGACACAGTTTTTGCTCAAGGCCTCAGTTCTCCAACACACTGACGTGGAGGATCTTTCACCTGGGGGATCTTTCACCTGAATCTCCAGCCTGGAGGCAGCCCATAGAATTTATCTTTCATTGGCCACAAGGAGAAGAATGGCTGCCATGATTTTCAGAAAACCAACTCCTAACTGGGAACTCATGATGATGTGTGGCGGCCTCCTGTGAGAGAACAAATGGTGTCCCATGCTTTTTCCTAGACCCATTTGGTAAAAGATCAGAGGTGACAGAGGACAGTGCAAGGGAGAATTGGGGATGAATTCTTCTAGTCATCTGTCTAGCATACTCCTCTGGCATTGCGAGAAAATATTTTATGCATTAAAGTAAGAAGACCTCGTTGCAAATGGCACATTTTGTAAATCCACATAATGTTCAAGTCCTAATTYTGYTTCACATTCTTTTGGAAAAATAATAAGTGTTAACATGAAGAAGAAAATGGGAAGAAAGAGAGGGTAGAAACAGGTCTGAAACARGAATTTAGATACATGGAAGAGCCCGTGAAAGAGGCGACGGGGATGAGGGGCGTCAATCTCAGCAGCAAATTCTAAATCCTTGCTCATACTTACAATGGTCAAGAGAGAACTTTTTAAATCTATATTTTCATGGTTCTTGCTTCTAGWTGAAAATAAATGAGCAAATGAACAAGGATCTCTAGAAGCCTCATGTTACCTAGCTTCATAATTATTTTATTCAAATTGTGCTTCTCTTTCACAAATACTAAAAATGAGTATACCCATTATTCAATTATTCAAATAATATTTATTGAGCGCTTAACTGTTACATGCCACTTAACCAGGTACAGTTGGTTTAATGAGATAATTCTGCAAATCCTCAAACATAGGCTTCTATGTACATCCTGAGTTGTGTCTGACAATGGAGAAGCAATTGCTGGTGCAGTAAAATATTGCTGTTGCCAATTCTCCCTTAAGAAATGACATCAGCTCTTTTCAGGATCTGGCTTAGGAAGCGACTTCCTAGGTTTGTTGACTTTTTCAGTTTCCTTAATCTTCAAGAGAGATTTAAACTGCTGCTCCGTCAAGAAAAACAGTCCTGTGTCCACAGCAAACAGCATCGCCACCAACAAGGGGACAATAATTTGCAGCCACATATACTTGGTTCGGTATGCTAGCGTAGAACAGAGATGCAACCAGAGACAAATTTTGTGTTAGATCTTGGCAAAATTTGTGTCAGAGCTTCACTTCCTTAAGAGAAGGGCCAACCATGGTCCCCCATCTTTAGTGTGATAYGATATTAAGGAACAGAGAGAAAACACTTGGGGGATTGAGTTCCACAGGATATACTCCCTGGAACACTAAGGAGGGCTAAGTATTTGCTAATAATCCCCATCTCACCTTCTTCTAGCCAATGTGACTAATGGGAAAGTCTTAGGAAAAATGGTCTCTTTCCTGGATCTGACATGACCAGCATCCATATATGATTTGAAAGCAGAAAGGAGTCAAAGTGAAACCAGGGTTCACCAGTGCCTTGTTTCTTAATCAATAAACCATGTTTTTTTGCATGATTACTGGGTAAAATGGAGATACTGGAGTAGTCATACTGCCTTCCAATTCTACTATTTCACAACTCTGTGATTTTATTTACACAACACTGATTTTGTGATTATTCTAGATTTTGAAAGCTGCAAAATATTATAGCTAGAAATGACTTGGAGGTCACCTAGACCAGTGTTTMTCAATGCTAGCTAGACATTACCAACACCTGAAAGAACTTTTGAAAATACTGATGACCAGACCCCACCCAAAATCAATTCTACCAGAATGTTAAAATATAAGACAGGGACATCCATCYCTCTTGAAATTCCTCAAGTGATTCTAGTGGAGTCTAGACCCACCCCGCAACTTACACATGAAGATGTTGGAAGTCCTGGGACAACTGGACAACACTTTGCTCTCAAGTTAGCAGAGAACTGCCTTAAGGGCTTAACCCAACCTTTAGCCTCATGTTTTACAGACATAATTATGAACATGCCAAGGGGAAAAAAAACTAATTTCCACCTTGCAAGGAGAATATTTCAGTTCCCTCCTGGTATATGAAGTCTGGAAAAGGCTGTTTCTCTTACAGGCCATGGAGGTAGTCCACCTGCCAGCTCTGTGTCCATCCAGCCCAGTCCCTCATCCCCAGAATGCAGGCACACCGCTGACTGACTGGTTGGCTTCATTTCCTAGACCTTGTAAGCTAGGATCAACTCTTCCATCTCTTCACATCTTTTGTTTGTTCCTTCAACCTAGAGCTCTCTTTAAAATTTGAAATATTTAAAAATCTCAATCTTCCACATAAGTTCTTTCCTCAGGAGCAACAAATGAATTTGAGACCAAAATCATCTTCATAACCTGTGAAGTCTGCCTTATTCCTGAATCAATAACCTATCATTTCTTGCACGACCTCTGGATAAAATAAAGATTTGGAGTAGTTGCACGGCCATGAGATAGCTCTCTTTTAAACAGGGAACTGCCATCAGAGTTTAACTTTTGACATCATGCATTTTTTAGACATAATTATGATCATTCCAATAAAAAAGCATAAACATCAAATTCCAAGTTACAAAGACTTTTTTTTAATAAAGTCTTTTAAAGAAACATGATCGCATTATTCACTCGAATCCCATAGTGTGGGCAGTTACTATCATTTAACAAGGAAGGAATCTGTGACTGCGATGCATGCTCTGTCTTATGTCTCCTCGTGGTAAATCTAGGAGCCTTTCTCACCTACCACAGCTGATCCCATTCTAAAAGCTGCAAAGACTTTAGGCTCAGATGTCCTCTCTTCCTTCCCTGCTGTGGACGATTTCTTTTTCCTTTACCCACTCACCTGTTATTACTGTAATTCGAAGGGGCTCAGAGACACAGGGCAGCTGCTGAAGTCGGCCCTTACAGAGATAGATGCCACTGTCGTTGAGTGAGGCATTTGTAATGGAGAACACTTGGTTCTCGTAGGAGTACTTGAGAGCCAGGTCATCCTTGTAGTAGATCACCTTTCTGATCTTCCAGTTTCTCCAACCGTGGCACCTGAGGAAGAGCGACTCCCCTTCCAACACCTCTTCAGCAGAGGCCTGGAGGAGCATCCAGTCTGAAAAGCAATTCATCATCTCATTTATTTAACAGTGAAAGAGAGAATAGGGGTCCTGCGTAGAGTGTGGGTCAGAAACCCTGGATTATTATTAACCCATTTCTTGGTTTGTCAGATCAATAAAAGTAATCACAAAATAAGGCTTACTGACTGTTTTCTCCACGTTTTCCTCCTGAAAAGTCAGACTGGAGCTCTAAAGGGTCATACCTTCCTGCTGAGCCCACACAGGCAAGGACTGAAACCCAGAATCCCGTCAGATCTATTACAGGCAATTCCAGACAGAAAAGGGAAATTCAACATGCTCTTCCCAGGACGTTTGTAGCTTAGGAGACTCTATTTTGTTCTCTCTGAACTCACAGAGGCTTCCCAGTTCTGTTGCTGTCAGAGTTGGCCTCGAAACTTCCTTAAACCATATATAACCATTTTAATTAATTATTTGCATAATTCTATATTTAAGGTCCCTTCCCCCATTTGGCTCYGTTTTGGAAGGTCAGGCACCATTTCTGGTTCAATTTTCTATCCCCAGTGCCTGACAGTGCCTAGAAGTTGGTGGGCACTTCTTGACCAAATATATTTGTCAACAATGAGTCAGTAAAAGACAAGAATCAGGTTCTATGACTAATGTCATCGTAAGAATTTAAAAGTGAAAGAATTTGAAATGGGAATATGGCTAACCTGTACAAACATATTTTATTTAGGATAAATCTTTGAGGACTTATTTAGAATCTTTTTTTTTTCCTTACGATCTGAGGATTGAATCCAGGACCTTACACATGCTAGGCAAGTACTCTACCACTGAGCTAYATCCACAGCCCACTTCTCTATAACCAACTACAAGGAAATAAGCTGTTCCACACTGTTTTAGTTTGTATTTGGAACTGTATATGTATGTTAAAAATTTTCACTCCAGAGAAAAATAAAAAGTGTATCAATAACTTATCTATCCAAATGAAATCATTAGTTTGTTCATTAAACATTTACTAATTAGCCCCCATATACCTACATATGTTGTGCTAATTTTTGGCAGTAGAGACAAAGATGAAGCAAACCTAAGAGTTATTTTTGAGTAACAATAGAAGATATGAGGAACATACCCAGATACTGTTCATAATGAAACTAATATTCAATAATGGCACATGCATTATTCAGGGAAAATTTTTAAATCAAACTTTTGATCCTATTCCACATACGTAGCTCTTGGCAATGTTCATATATCCATCACACCATTTGACCAATTATAATATATCTGTGTCTAAGAACTAAAGACAGTGGAAAATAAAGTAGAAGAATAATATTGTGAGGTGATCAGAATACTGAAAGAGGGCAGAAGGGTGGGCGTAGGAATGGGAGTAGAAGAAGAGAAATGGAGCAGTATTGAAGGAGAAGCCATGGGTCCCTTCTCCCCAATTTCATTCTTCACGTGAGAGAGAYCTATTCCCAAATCCCCAGAACTTACCACTGATCACTTCCAAGTACACAGGTTTACTCTTGTAAAAATTTCGGCCACGACATGTGTATATCCCACTGTGTTGATAGGTGGCATCCACGATGCTCCATTTTGAAGTTGTCACTTCTGAAACGGTGCCATTATGGGTCCACACAGTGTGGCTGTCCTCGGTGAAATTAKTCCCTTTACATTCGAGAGTCACATTCTCTCCTCTAAAAATTCTATTCCATGGGGGGTTCAAGGTCAGAATAGATTTTCGATTGCCTTCAAGAAGATAAAATTATGGAAAGAAATGCAGAAAGAAAAAAATTGAAAACTATCCAGGCTCAAAACACAAACGTGTCAATAGTCAATCAATTGTCAGTATATCCTTGCATTATTGGTGGTAAGACTCTGTCCTGATTTCTAGGAGAAAAAAATGGAGGAAACAGTATAGAGACCCCAGGGAGACTGGACACAAGAGATTTAAAAACAACAAGCAAACAAGCTAATTTACTATATGACTTGGGATAACTCACTCTAATTCTCTTAAATTGAATTTCAGTATCTACAGATGAGAATTGCAATCTCTTTTCAGGGAGAGATAATATCTGTCATACTCAACCATTGTTCAGCACAATGGTTGCTACATAGTCAGGGTTCATTAGATATTTATTGAGTGAATGAATGCAGGAATAGTGGATGGATAAACATTACAGTCAGGCATGGTGGTGCATACCTATAATCCCAGTGGCTTGGGAAGCTGAGGCGGGAGGATCGCAAGTTGAAAGCCAGCCTCAGCAACTTAAGGAGGTCCTAAACAACTAAGTGAGACTCTGTTTCAAAATAAAAACAAAATGGGCTGGGGATGTGGCTCAGTGGTTAAGCACCCCTGGGTTCAATCCCCAGTATCAAATATATATATGTACACACACACACACACACACACACACACACGTATATATAAATATATTAGAGTAGATGAAATATAAGGTCCTTCCAAGATCTAACTTTTTATGGCTATTTAATTGCTAGTGTATATAGAGTGCAAAAAATTGGTCAATTCTGGAAGGTAGTGAGAGTCTCCAAGACAGACATTCTTAGCTTCTAGGAGCAAAGGGGTGTGGTACAAATTTGAACAGAGACTAAGGAAGTGGCTAAATGGTATTGACAAAAGAGTGACACGGTCAAAGAAGTGGACATGGACCCAGAAGACTTGGAATCCAGTCCTCCGTTGGCTGTGTAACCTCTGGAAAGTCACCTTCTCTGATTTTCAGCATTCTCAATTATAAAAAAAGTAACAATAATAATAATCATGTAAAAATTGAATGAGTGTATGTCAAAAGGATTAAAAGAGAGGCTGAGACAYGTCGATGTGCAGCTGATATGGATTTGGGCTTAAACAGAGAAGATGACTTGAGAGAATAAGGAATTTTATTTTACAGGAGGGAGAAGAAGGAAAATACCACRTAGAAATGGGAAGTGGGTGGGCCAAAGAGTGGCAGGTTCCCACGCATTAGCCAAAGTGAAGGGATGAAGGCAAAGGCTGAGGGGAAGAGTGGTACCAGACACACTGGAACGCTGAGGGACAAGACAGAGGACTCACCTGTTAGCGTGCCAGCCAGAGCTGCAAAAGTCCAGAAAGGAGAAGTTAGCATTTCTCCCCAGTCTTCTGGGACTCCACAGTACAGGGATCTGGGTGTGAGGATGAGATTCTACATCCATGGAGGGCTAAACAGCTCAGGAATCTGAGCCATGTAGAGGGAGAAGGAACTKTTCAATTCCTTTGCTAGGAATCTTGTCGTCTGGGAGATGCCAGAGTAAATGCAAGGAACTCGGCTCTTAATTTGGTTTCCCCCCAGGTGTTACTCAGCCCAGTTTCCCATCCTTTCCAGTTGGACTCCACTACAGAGTCCCCGGGAAATGTCTCATGGTTTAKACGTGTCCTTGAAAAAGTCACCACCAAACTCATCAAAATCCCCCGCCACCCCACTGCCTCCTAGATCCATTTGGGCCCCTCCAGGTGAGGTAACTGAACCTCTACTTACAGAAGAGCAGCAAGGCTATGCACAGTGGGGCMCAGCCTCCCATGGCAGCAGGCATCTCCTCTGTGCCCCCAGGTGCCGGCTGGGCTGGTAAGAACTATGTTCTCAGAAATAGGCTTGAAACTAAAAAGGAGAAGGAAATGTTTTCTGTATCATATCTAGTTAACTCATCAATGATGCCTGGGCTGGTCTCTTTCTCCAGAGATAATATTCAGGGTTGTTCTGAACAGGGCGATTTTATACTTACCCCTTTATTCCRCTCCCCATCAAATCTCCATAAGCACACTTGGAATCTGGTGGGAGAGGGGCATAGGTAGGGTCACTGGGCTTCCTGAAGCTATCAATCAATACATAACTAGTTTGCAACTTAGGTAATCGAGGTGCAGGGGAGAACAGAATCAAACAACAATTACTGCATACTTAATATATGCCAGGCACTATCTAAACACATCTGATATTTCATCTATTTCTTACAAAAATTTATGAGTTAGGAACTACTGCTCTCTACATTGTATAGATAGGAAAAGTGGCTGTTAGAAAGCTTTAGCAACTTGTTTTAAGGCCATCACCCAGGAAATGACTAATTTGGGGTTCAAAAACATAAAAAGCTAACCCCAGAGTCAAACTCTAAATCATTAGAATACACTGCTTGAGCATGTTCCAGAGTTTGGCCAGTAATTGCTGAAATTCTTTTGGGGTTCATCTTGTTACTTAATTTCCTGATGATCTTTTGTCTACTAATCCACAAATTTTCATCTGATTCACTGATGATCTACTAACTGACAAGTCAAACTAGAGATATTTTCATAGAATTCTCTACTGAGTTCCTGATGTAGCCTATAACACAGGGAAGAAGATGTTAACCATCCCTTATATGAGCATTTTCTTTTCTTTCCTAGGCGTGGTCAATTTTTAATTTTATCATCATCCAGCATGCACACCATTTTTCCTTACATCAGTTCTTTTCCTTTTCATGACACCTCTGACCAATTTTTTGGCATTTTAGCTTCAGGTCATTGCTGGTCAATTTCTTCTTGGATCTGGGATTGATAATATTGGAGATAATGCCATAAATATCTACAGTGAATTGCCATTGACAAAGGAGGTTTTTTTTTGCATATAGTATTAATTTGATATTTTCCAAAATTCTGAAGAGGAATAGTATCCACAGCTRAAGTCAATGAGGCACCATTCTCTCATGCCCTGAGCTGCCTGAGAGAGTGTAGAATTAAGTCTTTGAATTAAATGCAAAGTCACTTTAGTCGCATAGAGATCTATGCAAAACTTTCAGCTTTCTGTGAAACGAGAGAAAACGGGGCTAAAAATATTCATAAATAGAAAGTGTCAGATAAGAAAGATTGGTGTCCCTGGTGCAGGACTTGCAGTGTTTTAGTGACAAGATCTGAAACAGAGCAGAAAGTTATTTTGAAAAGTACAAGTGGTGGGTGTTTCGAGAGCCGAATTCAAATGCTCCTGGCGTTTACGTAACTGACATTTAATTGTAAAATAGGGACAACACTGGTATCTAGATTATGGCTTTATTATGAGATTTAATGAGATAATAAGGATATAAAATATGTTGCCTAGCTTCTGGCATGGAAAAGATGTTTAATAAAGACATCTTTCTTATGATTACTTAGTAAGGACTCAGGATAGATACAAATTTTGACTGGGTCTCAGGATAAATACAAATTTTGGCTGGGTTAAGGACAATCAGATACCTACTTTTTTGATACCTTGTTGATAATCAGTATCTTATGCCCGTTCAATTTATCTAGGTAATCTCAGTCCTCTCTGTAGTYATGAAGAACAGAGCAGGGGGCTGAGGTTGGGGCTCAGTGGTAGAGCGCCTGCCTTGCACATGTGAGGCACAGGGTTCGATCCTCAGCACCGCATATAAATAAACAAATAAAATAAAATCATTGTGTTCATTTACAACTAAAGAAAAAAATATTTTAAAAAAATTAAAAATAAAAGGCTAAATTAAAAAAAAAAAAAACAAGAGCCTGGTGCAGTGGTGCATGCCTGGAGACTCAGACTCAAGAGACTGAGGCAGGAGAATCACAAGTTTGAGGCGAGTCTTGATGAGTGTGAAGCCAGCATGGGCAACTTAGCCAGACTCTACCTCAAAATATAAAATAAGGGGCTGGGGTTGTGGCTCAGTAGTAGAGYGCTTGCCTAGCATGTGTTTGATCCCYGGCACCACATAAAAATAAAAACAAATAAAATAAAATTATTGTGTCCATCTACAACTTAAAAAAAGAAAAGAGCAGGATCAGGAAAGAGTACAAAATGGAAAGTTWGATGGAAAGAGACAAAGSGGAACTGAGAAAGATAGAGGTTTGGGGTGTCCTCAAAGGGTGACATTTGTTTTGGACAGGTCCTGCATGACCACTTTGATAAGAATTTTTCCAGGAATTTTAGGTTTCCTTTTTCTTAGTACAGTGGTCTCACAATAAAAATGTCCTTCCGAGAGAGTTACTTTTCTGTGACTCAGCCTATTTAAAGGCTCTCTCTGAAGTCTGCACGMGGTCCAGGAATCTCCTCCCTAGTTGGTGTTGGAATGAGCTCAGTTGGAGGTACTAGTTCTAGTTTGAAGAGTATCAGCCCTGAAGTGTTTTGGAAGCAGTAACAGCAAGATCTTAACAGGCTCAGCAAAAGCAGTTCATTAAAGCTTTAAAAACACTTACCTGCCCAGCCCTAAAGAAAGATCGACAAGGTGAACCTGAGAAAGAATAAGCCCTACTCTATTTCCCAAAGTATAAACTCCTGCCATATTCAGAATGTTCCCTTCTCCTATTTGGTTTCAAACTTATTTCTTAAGCCAAAGGAACAAAACAAGAATTCAGAAGGAACACATGAACACTAAGACTAAACAGGAGTTCCATAGTACCTTGGCAGAACCAGTTGATGCACCTGCTGTTTTTTTTTTAAATCCTGTATATGCATAAAAAAAAATGTCCTCCAAATTTTATTTTCACTGAGTGGAGTGAGCTTCTGACTTCTTGTCTACATCAAGAACATGTGCTCCATGAAATCAGCAGAGCATCTCTTAATCTCGTTTCTTGCTACAGGCTTTTGAATGAGGGTACACATGTACTCAATACAGAACAACATCATTGTGCCCCAATTTTGACCAGTTACTGATTCTCAGAAGTCTTTATCTATATTTCAGTTTATAACAATGGAGAAATAAAATTAAAATGGCCACATGGGAATTCCAGGGCCTGTGGACTGTGAGATGTCCTCATAGCTGCTTTCTAAGTGAGAGGCTTTTGACAGGGACTTTTGTGTTTTGGAACATGGCTGTCAGAGGAGGGATCAGGGATCAGCCTATACAAGAAGCTTGGCCTTTGTGCCCTCCAAAATTAGAAAGAAGAAGGGCCCATCTGCTGGTTTTTTCCTGTTTTCTATAAAACCAAAGTCCATTAATATTGGATATGAAAAGTGAAATATGTCTGCTCATAGTGTATGTGTACCTAATAGATTTAGATCTCTTTCTAAAGACCAAGTACAAGGCTAAGTATGTAATATCTCTTCTCTCCTTTGTTCCTTCTACCAGCTCTGTGGTTAGGAAGGAGAAAAACTAAATCATGAAGAAATTAAGTACCTTATTAAAAGATATGTAATGGCTAAGTGAAGAGTTAGGAGTTGAACTCAGGCAGACTGGCTAAAAAAAGCTCAAACTCATGACCAGAGAGACAGATAAATGAGATAAAGAAAGGAGGGGGGAGGAGATTTTATTAATTTAATCTATACATCTCGATTGAAGTGCATGTGAATTCATAATACTCAAAAAACACTTTGGATTCTCAGGAGTCCAAAATCCACATAGGAAATCATTGATCTAATCAGTCTATCTTCCTGTTCTATGAATTCCTTTCCTCAATTCAGGGGATATTTCTCAACCCTCAGCCACACAGGATTGTTGGTGCTAGTGGTACATTAATTGTTTTCTTTTCACAGATATTTCTAGAAATAAGAGAGAAGAGAGAAAAATCTTTGCCTTTTTCCTCTGGAATTTTAGGGCCAGGAGGGTGTGAGCTCAGTCCTCTTATTTCCGTCACCTTGAACAGGAGTCTGCCAGGAGAGAGCACTCAATAGCAGGTGCTAAYAGCCTGGTGGATTTTCACATTAAAGTCAGTGGTTTAATACTTTTTACTTCTTGTCTTGACCTGAATGGTTACTCACTTTGGGTCCAAAAGAAATAAATCTGAAAGAAATAAATGGAAACTCCCGGGACTCCCAAAGTAAATGTCACTCAGACAGAGACGAAGACAGGGATTATACAAGCTGCATCCTTGGGTACAGATAGACCTTCTTCCCCCAGAAAAAGGAAAATGAGACTTCAAGAAATAATGCCAGCAGTGATCCTTTCCCTTCCATTTTTAGAGACTAAGTTCTCTCTCAYGTGGAAGGGAGAACCAGGTGGAATTTTACACCCATTCAGTATTTGCATGGAGAGTAACTATAAGATCTATTTCAAGCACTTGATTTTTTTGTAACAAAATAATGCTGTATCCTTCAAATCTAAAGGTGGCCTTACTATTTTGAGATTACAGATTKATATAACTGAAGCTACAATACTATGGACTGTTTATAGGCAAGTCCTACCAGATATGCCAATTGGAACCTGTCACAGGAGGCCAAGAGATTAAAAAGGGTCAGATACATGGTCCTTTTCCRAATGGACATGAAAAGTCAATAGATCAGGAAAATGTTTTCTATCTAGTGTCATACTTCTTGGGGTACCCCACCCCTGACTAAACTACAAAACACAGGAAAAAAAATCCATCTGTAGGTTCCCTGAAATTTCTCAGCACTGACCACTGTCTGAGCATAATCTATTTTATATCATAATCTATTTTACAGTATGTAGGTGTGATGTAAGTGTGACCATCTGTGAAATCAAGCTGCCTGTCTTCGGGCTATATAATAAGCCACTCAGACTTTGCAAATGAGACCTCTTTGCGCTATCTTGTAATTAAGGGAATAGTATCAACCATAAAGTGAGATCAAGTAAATTGACTGTGACTTTTGCCTTATACCTACCTATACACACCATTTTRCCTTTTCCCACCATTT